AAAAAAAAAAAAAAAAAAAAGAACAGAAAGTGAGTCTGGATTCGAAATCCATTTATGGTCACAACTGAGAGCATAAATTCTGGTTTGAATATTAAGGAGTCATTACTAGAAATAAATTTAAAAGGAATGTATTTAATTATAAAATATTATAAAATCATAAATCTTATGATATGCAATATAATTCTAAAATCCAGATCAAAAGTAGTTGCTACCTATAGCAGATATACAAAAATTTCTTATGAAATCGGTGATATTCATTCTTTTTTTATAATGTATATCTCACTAATTAATTCAACTAATTCCATGTATACCGATAAATTGACGCGCAAATTTTATATTATGATGATGATGTCCTCCTGACGATACCGGCCACGGCGGTCAATCTTATTGAGACTAGCCAACTGCGCAGGAGATATTATAGTGCCCAAGTGTACGCGCAGACACAAGTGCACTCTCTATTCCTGTCACTCTCATACCCCGGTGGGACGACCATTCTACACGACCAGTGAGAGTTAAGGTTAGTTAGCTATATTAATTAATTAATTGATTAGTTAATTAATTAAGTTAATTATACTTTATAATTATATAGACCATATACATATAAAGATCTAAAAACAAACTACAATTATTATTATTTTAATAAAAAAAATAAAAATAACTGTCTTGTAAAATAATATATTATGTAATCATGAAAAATTAACGAGTAATCTAATAAATACATGGTTGGAGTTTCTAAGACTAATATATTGCTTTATCTTAACATTACGTATTCAGTTATTTAATACATTAACAAAAAAATAAAAACCATGCTTTGTATGGGCTGACACCGATTTCGAACATATTTGATTAGGTATGTATTTAATAAGTAGGCTTTAATTACTTAGCCAAAGCACACCGACTTTGAAAATATTTGATTAGGTATGTATAGTAAATGAAAACTACCAATCAGTTATTTTTTACTTTTTAGTGCTTTTGTTTGAAGTCGGTTTTATTTTGTTAAAAAGTTTTTATTTTTCCCTTTTTAGTGTAGACAGTAGTAGCAAAGTAAGAATTCTAACGTGTTAGGCTTGTCAAATCAAATAAAATAAGCCCAAACTCAAAGTATCTACTATTAGCCGTTGAAGAGTTCCACCTATCCACCTTCTGGCCTTACCATCAGATCAGGTCAATAACACCGAACCACTTTTCACCACCACCCTTGGGGGTGGTTTTTTTTTTAAATTTAAATGGGCCCAATCTGGAAGTATACACTTTCAAACAACACAATAATTGTCCAAATCGGTTAATAAATGACGGAGTTCTGAGGTAACAAACATAAAAAAAATACAGTCGAATTGAGAACCTCCTCCTTTTTGAAGTCGGTTGAAAATAAACAGTTCTGAACTTTTCAAATTTTCAGGTGTTTTCCCTATTTTTTATTGTACTTAAACCACTAATGACACACCCCCAATATAACAAAAAAAAGAATGATTCAAATCGGTCCAGCCGTTTTTGAGTTTTAGTGAGACTTAACGAACGGCAATTGGTTTTTATATTCAATCAGATCAAAGAATTATACCTATAGATGGAGCCCGCCAATGTCAATTTCAAAAATAGTAGCGTGAGTTTTTGCTATCATTCTCGATTTTGCCATACATATTGTTTACTTTCTTCAAAGAATAACGGAAACTTTATATATGTATTAATCATTACTTTACATTTTTGAGAAGAAAATATGAGTAATAATGGATAATAAAAATAATACTATACCTGTTCTTTTATATATTTTTTGCATTTTTACCTTTAACCCTTGAAAAAGAGATCGCATAATAATATTAGCTGATTTTTTAATAAAATTCATTCGCTAGTTTTATTTATTATCAACATTTATTTAATTTTCATAATAATGAGTAATATATTAATATTTGTGTACTGCTTAGAAATATTATTTTAAAATATCATTGTTTGTCTATATTATACCTTAGATCTTTTTGTTCATTTACATAGGTACATACATACCTTTATATACCTACGTAAATGAACAAAAAGATCTTCCTTCATAAATAATTTGAACCGGTCCATTCTAACTTCCTTGTTACTTGCAATTTAATTTAAATTATATTCATAAAAATGAAGCCATTTGAATGATAATGCTATCTGAATGACTGCAAATTGGTTATATTTCTGTCGCAATCAATATGCCATATTACTATATCTGTAACCTGATGAATTTTTCATGTATGTACTTGAATTTACTTACAGACGACACGTATGGCTCAGTTTGTAATTACCCTACTTGCTGAGCCAGAGGTCGCGGGTTCAAGTCCCGCTGGGGGCATTCATTTATGTGATGAGCACTAATGTTTGTACTTCAGTCATGGGTGTTTATATTTATAATATGTATGTATCTAAAGTTATATAACATGTTTAGTGTATCAACTATCTGGTATCCATAACACAGGCCTTGTAGCTTACTATGGAACTAGATGGTGCTGTGTGTTAATGTCCCACCATATTTATTTATTAAATTTCTTAAAAAAACCTAACAAGAAGCTATTTTTATCACTAAACACACGCACTCACATATGTAGGTATTGAGAATTTAACTTTGGTAATTCTACGAACAAAACCTAATATTACAATATTACATTGCATTTTAATAACATATGCAGTATTTGGTTGCTTGTCGGAGATATTATCTCGCCATTGTTTTCCTCATAATGGTTACAGGAGCCTAATAAAGCTGACTTTATATTTCCATAACAAGCCAATGCTCCACAATAGTTACAGCGTTAGATAACCATGCGTAATTGAGGCAAAACCAAATAAAGGTCTCAAGGCTGAGGTCAGATACATCAAACCTTTTTTGAAAAGTCGTGCAGTGTGTACACACTTTAATAGATACGCTAATAAATACTAAAATATTATGATAAGTGATGTACAGCTTGCCTCTAAAATGGCTTGGTATCTAAGGTAATCCATATATCATTGTACATTTTTTTAGAATTATATACCTATACCACAGATTACATAATACTAGTACAGTCTACAGATGCCTCATCCCATACAAAGAAAATGGACAGCGCTAATTCGGGCTATTCTGTGGGCTATTTTTGTTTGATTGTATAGATAATAATAGATGTTGTTGATTCTCAAATAGTTATACTATCCTATACTAACCTTTTTGACAAATAAAAATTATTTTTTCATTATTTTTTTTTATTAAGTATTTTCTAAAACTTTAAAAGAGTCGAAGTCAAGTAAAGTCAAAAAATCGGAAACTTTATACAAAAAATACAATCTTGTTTTGGTTAAATTAAATAGAACTATGAATTATTTTATTTACCTTCTATACAAATGAAACTTACTTAAATATTTTCTATACAGTACCAAAATTAACAAAAACACAAAGTCAAAGCCGAAGGTCTCCAGTTACTTTTAAGTCTTAAATCTATATTAAAATTTAAAATGGATGTAATATATTATATTAAATTATTGTTATTGTTATTATTATATATTGGTTTGTAAATACATGCTCATCCATATATTTCTAAATAGAATGTGGTTGATCCCAAGTCGCTGTCCATAATTATATTATACCAAGATCCAATTAAATTAAAAATTTATTAGAATGTACGGCAAATGCCTTCTACTTTAAGTATAATTCAAGTTATAATGATTCATAGCATTTATTTATTTTCTTAAGTTTTTAGAAATTTTAATTGAAGACAAAAAAAAACATATACATATTTTGTTACAAATGTACATTTTACATATTAAAATTTCTATATATAACATTACAAAACGTAAAAGTATAGTTGATAATTGTGGTCTGCCTGGTGGTCCAGTGGCTAGCATGTACGGCTGCAGATCCGGAGGTTCTAGGTTCGAGTTGTAAGTTGAGTTATTGAGTTTTTCTGTTACCGGTTGTGTCGAATTCGTCCTATCGTTAAAAGTGTTAGTTTTAGTTTTTAGTTTTTTTTGGTTAGGTACTCTATAATGGTTATTTAAATATATACTAATATTACTTAGTATCCCCCTGGCATTAAACTTAAGCGATACACTTAATATACCAAGTTCCGCTGTAAAGACGATCAGAACAATATACTACCCAGCAAATATCATTCAAACTAGGTTGACAAAATTTATTCTACTAGGACAAGCACATTTTGTAATCATTGGAACTCAATTAGAACACGAAATATCACTTTGCCAAAAGCAATAGTGAGATCCACACTATAAATGAGACTTACGAAAGAAGTTTCTTTAATAATAATTTAATTAAGTTAAGTATAAATGAACTTCTCTTCAAAACTTCTTAAAGTCAAAAAAATAATAAATTTTAATTATTAATATAAAAATATTTATACATGGCATCTTAAGTATTTTTGATCTTCAATAGAACAGACGTTTTGCAATCTCCAAACACAGAAAAGCCACGGCTAAATACCATCAAGATTGCTTTCAATAAATGATTTATCAGACTGTTATAATGTTTTAAATATGAACATCACGTTGTGTGGGCAACCTTCAATCACAAGTGTACATTTCGGGGGCTCATTGTATGGTAATGCATCGCTTAGGGCGAGACTCGTATCCGTTAAACTGGCTTACATTAAATGATTCACTTAGAACTAATATTGATACTGTAATTGCGTATGTGTCTTGTGATAGAATGTGTAATTTATAGATCAAGTTTCCAGAATCCTTTCAAGTTATGACCTTTTATGGGTGCGCCGATGATAGTAATTTAAAGTTATTATCTTGGATGCGGTTTCAATTAAATCAATTTAGAATATCTAACATAAATCTGAATCAGGTTTGATTATTTCGAAAAACTATAAATATTATTTATGAAATCCTAGCATAATGCTACATAAAAACGAGTATTTGAAATAATAATAATATTTTATTTTAAATAAATAAATATTTGGCATTTCCCAACTTTTAAAAAGGTTTTTTTTTAAATATTCAATAAGCTGTAGCTGCAAATAAACAAAGTTATAAACTTTTATATTAAAATGCATTTACGCATACCACCCGCAAATAAACAGGTAGTATGCGTAAAATATGGGACTCGCCTGCTCGATACAGCCAGTATATTCCAACGTAACCTTCATCATCTTAATGGGTTAAATCACGAAAGTGCTGAACCAAGATCAACGGTTAGCCTACCCAGGTAGACTACAACAACCTCCTTGGTTAACAAAGAGGTACCAGGACTCAGGAGAACCCTAACCTCCCCTTCTTAGCTTCATAGCCGGGCATAATTTGCCGGGTTCTACCAGGCATCACGACAAGACGATCACACTTAGAGAATATTAAAGTAAATCTACATATGTAATTTTGTTTAAAATTTATTACAATTAATATTCAATTGTAATTTTTATTTAAATGCAATTACAAATATTTGTAAATCTAAGCAAACGTCTATTGATGGTCTATTAGACCAGCAAACTAATTTAGCTTCATAATAAAACTATTCTAACCGCACCTTTACAGAAGCTGCCAAGTCTCCTCCCATATAATGTTTAGTCTTATAGTATAAAATTAGATAGTGCATGTCATAGTACACGTTACACCCACATTTTGAATACTTTGAATAGTACTCGTATTTGTTGAACATGGAGTTGTGACAATAATTTGTCTTTGATTAAATGAAGCGTAATTTGGCAGTGGTGCGTGTTGCAATGATTGTGATTGTATAATGTGTATATTATGTAATACATATTTAATTACCTCTCGACTCAATATACTGAGAATATTAAGATTGTTTCAATTAAAATAATGAAAATGCCGGATAGTCATTTTGAGAATAAACTCTGTGTATAGATGTAATCAAAAAAAGATTGTCGAAAGGCCAAAAATTAAGAATTTATAGAATTCCCGAAGGTAAAGAAATAGGAACACTATATCTCCTATATAGAAGAAATGATAAACATTATTTTCATGTAATATTTTATACATATATTATGGACTTCTAAATGGTGTTTATAGGTTTTTAGATTAAATGGTACCGTTTATTGTTGAAACATCGCACAAAGCAGCTAAGTTATCATTTGTGCTATAAAATTGTATACTTAAACTTATTATGTATATTCTATTAGACTTTTTTATCAATATATTTTTAAATAAACGTAAAGATCGGTCTCCATTCATCACAGATAGTATATATGTACATATTAAATATTTATTAAATAAAAATGATCAAGCAATGTGAAAGAAACAAGCCATTTATCTCTCGTCAATTACATTTATTTAGTACAATAATTTACCTACATGTATTATTATAAGGTTACTTGTAACATTGTTGCAAAAATCTTGAAATTAATATATTTAAAGCTAGTTTAATATTTATAAGATATTTTATTAATATTTATAAGGTTTCTTGCAATCAATATCAGATACAATTATTTCAATAAATACAAACATAATGTTACTACTTTTTATAAAATATATTATTATTTTTTACGTATTAAAAACAATCGAGTAATTAAAAAGATAATAATAATATTACCGAGGTTGTCATATAGCAATTTATTAAACATTTTTTGCAATTCAAATCATAATAGAACAAAAATAAAATTTTTAAATGGGATATTATTAATAATAGACAGAAAAGGTAAGAACAAAGTGACGTTGTATGAAAACCTTAAGTATCCAGTATGTACATTTCTATAGCATTATATTAATTTATATTTATATGGCAACTAAATATGTAGTTGATAATAGACCTGATAATATCAAGGTAGACATGTTCTAGATTTTAATACGAGACACCTAATTACAAATGTCGAATTTACATATTAAATACAATCCTATTTAAATGAAGAGTAATTTTAACATTAATATATGCAAGAAATCGTATTTTTACTTTACTGCACAATCTTAATTAGTCTACCAAAATACATAAAAAATACCTAATATATACAGTAAAACATAACGCAAATATAATAAATTGTTTAATAAGATGTTATTTAGGACGGTATAAAAGTCAGCTCAAGTGACACGTTAGTTAGCTAATAAAACTATGATGACTTTAAAAAGTATAAGATAAAGTAAGGGTTAAAACACTGGCAACTTTCCAACTTCGAGCAACAGTTCTCTCCTTTTTCTCCTATCTGTCAAGAAATTTTCAGTTCTTACTATAGAAAGGAGACCCCAACGCAGAACCTCCGGCTCTACAACCGTATAAGCTAGCCACTAGACCACCGAGGCAACTAAGTTCAGAAAGTCAATGTATGTATGTACATATCGGCCTTTACATACATATATTGCAGATAATTTGTATGTATCAGGAAGTATAGATGTAACGTCGGAGATGCGCCGCTTCTGGTGCCTAAATATCGAAAAAGTAGCGAAAAATTGAATGGAGTGAACAAAAATGGATGATGATAGAAGTATAATAGCATTATAAAATTAGCCACAACGCTGTATCAACTACAAAACTCACGTAATGGCAAATCAACAGTTATTACACTCGATTTTAACTGGGAAGACGAAGTTCCATGTAACACTTAATAGTAGCATGCATGATCACCGTTTACGATTATAAACTACAATTTTGATAATTATTGTGTGTCAATGTGATACTTTATTTAACACTAGCGACTTGTTACGTCTTACGTCCCTTGTGATGAATGGTTTAGTTACGTACAGAGGACAAATATACGAAGATTTTTTTTGGGCCAGAAACCTTCGCAGACGTACGCCGAATTACTTATTAAAGTTTTATCATAATCGGATAAATGGTAGAAGAAAGTGTAGAGGACAAATGTACAAAGAAGCACAGGTGGAATAAAAGTCACAAGTTTTTGACCATTTTTTTTATGTTAGGAAATGCATTTTCGCATACCACCTGATAACCACCTGAATACATATAGGTGGTTATATTTTACTCACCGGCTAGAGAAGCCAGTACTACCCACTAAAACCCAACAGGACCTCCCTCATATTAATGGGACGTCGCAGGACCGCTTACGTATCAACCATGATGCCCCGATGGCAGTCCTGCCGAGGTAGATGACATAATCAAGGGGTTGCTCCCATGGCCTAATCTGCTATCAGAGAAGTACTCCACCACGTGATAATCGCACATTGGGGGAGTACATATTATTTGACTAACGTCTGTGCAAAAAAAATTATTATTTAATTAAATTTTCTATTTCTATCTAGATAGTGATGTTCTCCTGGCCGATTCCGGCCACGGCGGCCAATCTCATTGAGACTAGCCAACTGCGCAGGAAATATTATAGTGCTCAAGTGTACGCGCAGACACAAGTGCACTCTCTATTCCTGTCACTCTCATACTCCGGTGGGACGACTGCTCGACACGACCAGTGAGAGTTAAGGCGCAGGACCGACGGCTTTACGTGCTCTCCGAGGCACGGGGGTGAAACACCGCCAACTTCCCAACTCCGGGCTGTTACTGAGACTTACTATACAGAAAGACTCAATAACTAAGCTTGGCCCGACCCGGGACTCGAACCCAGGACCTCCGAGTGTGCAGCCGTACATGCTAGCCACTACACCACCGAGGCAGTTATCTAGACAGTATAATAGAAGCGAATTATATAATTAAGCATATTATATAACGAAAAAAACAAAAAAAAATTGTACATCTATTAAATTACTTCTTATATTATATTCCTTTCAATAATTTTCATAAAAGAACAATAGCAGGAGACTTAAATAAAAAGTACTTCAATAACAGATAAATATTCATAATAGAATATTACAATTTTATCTAATGACGCAAAATACAAAAATACTTAACACTTATGAAGTGATTTTAATTTCAATATACATTTTGAACTAAAAAATAGTTCGGTAATATTAATCGCAAATGTAGTGTGATGTGACACGCATTGCATAAATTTTCTATTATATCTACACATTATATACATGAAAATAGCAATTACCCTCAAAATTAAGACCAAGGTGACATTTTTAATGTACCTTAAGCTGACCTTGACCTTTTGTTAGAGTTAGTACTAAAGAGTTTACCTCTTAGGCGAATGAATAAGAGAAATTTAGAATTTCTAAAAACTCCCATATTTGAAAAGGTTATAAAGTATTCAATATAAATAAGCACTGAGTTTCGAAAGATGCTTCTGAGGTTTGTTTCGCCACTAAACGGCAAATAGAAGCATATCATCGGTGTTGTAAGTTCGTGACTTATTATGAGTGGGTATAATCGCAGGGAAATAGCTTCGTGTACTCCCTATGCACTGTGTACTTATCATGAACGTGCTAATTAGAAATTCTTCTAAATGTTACAAATAAGCTTAATTCTTGCTAATATTTAAAATGTGAAAGTTTAAATGGCTGTTTGGATGTTAATCTATATACTATATACTTTGCAATAAGAACTTAATAATTTAGCTTTACAATTTTAGAATGGGTATTTCAGGCTATACTATATTCTGCCGATACTTTAAAATCCTGATAAACATGCTATACAGATTAAGCTAATAAAAAAGTTTACAATCAATAACTCATTCATTGATTTTGTGGAAATAATTATAATTTTTAAGTTTATAAATCTTAATACTAGCGACTCACCCTCGCTTCGCTCGGGTTTGCCTCTAGAAAAAAAGACAAATCTATCCCACGGGTACCGTAAATTTTTACCGTAAAGTAGCCTATGTGCTATTCCAGACTATAATCTATTTCTGTGCAAATTTCATCCAGATCCGTTCAGCCTGTTCTGGCGTGAAAAAGTAACAACCATCCAAACATCCATCTAAACTTTCACATTTATAATATTAGTAAGATATAATGAATTATCATATCATAATGTTAGTTACCGGAAATAAATTAATGGATATCAAATTCTCTAAATGTATGTATGTAATAGTCTATTAAAATGTGAAATATGTTTAAATGTTTTTTTTTATTATTTATAGCAATTTTATAAGTAGTAATTAATCTATCGCTGTATCCCTTGGTACTTCCATAGGAAATAAATTGTTATGTTTAACATTTTAATTTTTTTAATTTCATAATTGCAAACAGACACTTAATTCTTATATTTTATGTATATACTAGCGGACCCGACAGACGTTGTCCTGTCTACACGTCTTTAATTTGAAAATTTCAAACATTTTTTAATAAGCTAAAACATTCTGGACCATTTTGATGAAAATTATTATTCAAATTGTGAATCTAAACCATTCCCAGATCCCCTTGAATACACAAAAAATTTCATCAAAATCGGTCCAGTCGTTTGAGAGAAGTTCAGTGACATACACACTCACAGAAGAATTATATATATAAAGATAATAAACAACATGTCAAAATATAAAATAGAATCTATCAAATTATTATATTTCCGTCCTGAAATATACCTAAGCGAGCTCCACCCAGCATATAATCGAAATTTATATGTGAAACATGATAATTTGATGGCAAATTTTATACAAATGCCTTATACAGTGTTGCGTATATGGAGTTTTCTGTTACTTTGTAATGTGTGTTAAACGAAAATGTTGATTTTTTACATATGTATTTCGAAAGAAAACTACTTCATAACGCACAAAGATAATAAACAAATTGCGCAAATTAAATAAATCCAAAGTAATCCTTACGATTTTGAAGTTATTAACATTATTTGCGTAAAGAATATAAGTTATTTTTTACCTAAATCAAACCTCAGTGAATTAACTCCCAAAATTGATGTCAACAACATATTCTCATGTCAAATAGTTTGTATATAATGTATACATATATAATATACAGGGTGGATTTTTGAGACGGGAGACCATCATTTTTGGTATTTTAGCAATTTTTTCGGTAACTGTACATTTTTTCAAAATCTGTGAATGCAGTTCGGAATATCTCAAAAAGTTAGGGTTGGTCTCCTAGGAACGTTTTCCTGTAACTATAGCAGTTAAGCTACCTGCCCTTACTGTCCCGTCTCAAAAATTCATCCTGTATGTGAAAATTAATTTGAAAATATAAAATAAATTTTGAGCGATTTAAAAAAACAAATAATACAGTTGGTTTTAACAAACCCTGTGACATGATTTTGATATTCTAGTGCTTACTTGATAGCATATGTAAGTATTGTATTTAGTAATCGACAATTATTCTATTACAATTTATACAAGCTTTAATCCACGACCTCGGACACGCCGGCGAGTCAGTTAACAATAGATTTCTTAGAAATTTAATTAATTTATTAGAAATTTACCTGGAGGTGTTAATGATATTTTATAATATTTGAGATCGAGATGAAAGGACGGAAAGTACAAAAATAGCGTAGTTCATATTATGTAATACCAATTATTTTACATAATTGGTATAAATCCTTAGGCGCAGTAATTTTCGAGATATGGTTCGTAGAAACATATATACCAAATACCTGAAGATTTAAACTTGATCCAATCAGTATACTCAGAGAAAAAAACGTAACAGACGGACAGACAAAGAGACAGACAGACACGCGAGTAATCTTTTAAAGACTTCGTTTTTGCATTTCGAGGTACGGAACTCTCACACATCATATGTAAATGACAATTTAAACTTAATAATATTCCTGTATATAAAAATCGAGGCTGCTCAGCATGAAAGCTGTATAATTTAAAGCAGTATATTTCACAGATTAATTAGATTTTATTAGATTGTATTAGTACTTATAATTCGCATTCAGTTTTAAGTAAATAAAAATCTTTAATTTTCAACGTTTTAAGAATAAAATTATGTGCGATAAAGACTACACTAGTTTAAAACTATGTCGTAGCAATTAACGCGCCCACCTCCAGATCATGTTTCATTGAATATATTTTAGCTTATTTATATATAAACTAGCATTGCCCGCGGCTCCACCCGCGTCCAGATATCCAAAAACCAAATTCCTAGGTTTTACATATTAGTATACTCTTATTGCAGTTTTCGTATTTTTTCTCAGAAATAAGACATTTTTCCGTGGTAAAATCTCCTCCTCCTAAAATCCTATATGTTGACCCGGATAACCAGCTATCACTATACCAAATTTCATCATAATCCCTCCATTGGTTTTTCTGTGGTGCGGTAACAGACAGACAGACAAAAATTCTAAAAATTATACATTCGGCCTCTGTTTTGATAATAAAGTCTATTTCAATAACATTTTCCAAAAAATATTTAATATACAGATTCGGCTTAGTTACAATTTTATTGTATGTATAGATAACAAAGATTAAAAAGGTCAGTAACTATTTCCGCTCTGTTTTTCAATCCATTTTTTATTATGTATCTATTGACAAGATTTAGTGTTAACAATAAAAAAAAATTAAACGTTTTTTTTTAAATATATATAATAATGTTATTTATCTTATTTGAAAAATTAATTGCGTTTCTGTAATAATAAAAGATTTATTTCACTATTAGAATTTAAATACAAAAAACATATTAAAAATTACACTTATAATAAAATATTATCTCACCTGTAATAGTAAAAGTAACAACATTTAAAGCCTCTATTTCAATCTAAATAACAATAAACTAATAAATAAACTCTTCTCTAGGAAAATTTATAATTCCATACTATAATAAAGTTAAAAAACTAAAAAAAATAAAGTAAATTTGGAATTAATTAAAAAGTATGTATGTAATAAAAATAAACCTAAAAAAGCACTCTCATATGAAGTGGTTTTCTTTACATAATTCATATAATATTATTTTTTCCTCATATTTTCAGTAATGATTATGTTAGAAAATCTACCACTAGGTGACCACTCGTTCTTTTAAATATTTTATGTCCCACACCTACACACTCCTACACTACGTACCCCACGGTAGTCATATTTTCGACGACTCCAAAGTTCAATAAATTAATATCTGGATTATTTTTTTATTACCCCCGTGGAGAAGAGGTTCAAAAAAATCCGTGTTATAATATTGTGTACATAATACATAGGGACAATTGTTTAAATGTTTAAATAAATTAACACAAGAAAAAATGAATTAAAGAGGATTATTGTTATATAATATCCATACTTTTTTTTATATTATAAATGTGAAAGTGTGTTTGTTTGTTTATCCTTCTTTCACGTCGAAATAGAATGACGGATTGGCGTGTTTTTTTATATGGAGATAGTTAAAGGGCTGAAGAGTGACATAAGCTACTTTTTACCGCGAGAGATTATCTAATTCCCACGGAAAAACACGTTATAATACAATTCAAAAAATGTTTATAATCAGAATTACTTGAAACATGGTATTAATGCTCTTCAATACAATTAAATAAACTTCGAAATTGATCATATAAGGGGTAAAATAGGGGATAAAAGCTTGTATGAAACCTACCTTTTGAGTTTTTTATAATTTTAGCGTGAGCAAAGCCGCGAGTTCTGATG